ATTTGTCATTTTGTATGATTAAATGGTAGACGGCGCACCTCAGACTATATGAGCTAATTTAATTAATAACCTACGAAAACCCATTTTTATTATTAAGAATGTTTGTTCGAAGTTGCGTGAACGCATACTCCGAATTGGTTTTTAGAATTGTAATCATATCACGCGAACGTGTACACAATCACAATTGTATTTTAACGGCCCTAAAGGTTTTTCTATGAATATTCAACAATTATTCCTAAAATCGAGTTAGGATTGCTAAGGCACGAGTTACGGGCTAACTTCACTGTGAAAAGCAAACGGGCTACCTCAAGGCACATGGATATACAACCCAGAAGTATTAACATGGAAAAGGGCCTGGCGGCTCATTCGCTAGGCCCATATTCTTTTGCTTGAAATTACTATCTTAAATTTGGCCACATGACCAGTTCAAAGATCCTAGACAAAGACAAACAAACACAAGCAATTCTGCAAAATGCATGCTAGGGTCTGCAAAACTCTATGTAGCAATACAGATGAGTAAACAGTATGAAGTCGACGACTGTAACCCCTGTTGTCCCCTCCTAATCACTTAACTTCCTCTAAATTTGGTTGCTTGACTCAACTCGCGTTGTTCTGCATCACAACAGTTCCAGCGCAATAGTGAATATGCAAATGTCCCAAGCAAACATCAATATCTCTGAATAACAGACTTAGTCTATCAGAGAAACTGAGGCCAACAAAATAATTTTCTGTTTTTATTCCTTTTCTTGTTCAAATGAGTGGACAAAGCAAACAGATTCCCTATAAACTTCCATCAGTACCAGCACGAAAGAAGAAGAAGTGTGTTTCAATGGAAATGCAAAAGAAGCTCGAGTTCTAGTTATACATACTATGGTGGCAGTTCATTTAACGAGGTTATTAAGGAGGACAGTGGTTGTAAGTCTTCTTATCCAGTGAATGATGAAGCTCGTGGTGTGACCATTAAGTATGAGACTAATGCAACCAGATGCTAAGATATGCAGCCACGAACTACGTGATTCACATTTTAAACAACATTCCCAATTTTCTAGCTGCCAATGCAAGCCTTTCGTTTCAGTAGGTTATGCACAGAGTGGACAGAAGAATGAAGTGCAACAGCCCTATTCGCAATCTGAAATCTGGAAGGAACAAGTGATGCACAGTTGCTATACAGATTCTACGCAGAAACTGGTCTGCTGAATCCAGGTGCGACTGGAGTTTTGCACGTAAGGCATCATAAGAATGCCAACAAGGGTCTTCTGAACTCTCAGACAAAAAGGCAGCTCAGGATTTGTGATAAGAAACTCTCAATTCAAGGGAACCAATTTAGTTCATACATTTTCAGAATAGCAACTTAAATTTGAGTCGCTGCTGCCACCATCGACTAAAATGCATTCAGTAACAGTCCCCAAAACATTCGATCACAAGTAAAATCATATCCCCAACAAGCAATTTATGTTCAAACTCACATTTCAGCTACAATGCATCAGAAAAATCGACACAACTTGAACAAACTTTACCCTAAAATCTCAACTAGTCGCAATTCAATAAGAAGCTAAATTGAACTTACTAATTTAAGAATGAACTAAGCATACAAGTTACTTGGTGCTTAAACTATGGCCAGACCAACAAAATGATCGAACAAGCAGGTTCCAACCCTTAAAACCTCATGACTCTGTTTCAGTGCTCAAATTTTAAAAAAACGAGTAAGACGATGTTACACAACCACAGCCATTACATCATTGTGTGCAATCACTCGTCCGATGTAGAATAACCAAGAATACGAAAAACCTAAACCAAGGCCAAAGGAACTCAACATTCAAAATCAAACAACGAGCATTGACTTTCAAGTAGTCTTAACCAAAATCATAACAAACATGAACACATGAAACAGAACCATGAGTAATGGAAAGACGGAGAAGAGATGGAACTGAAATTGCAAATCTCCTTTATAACAATTACAGACTTGACAATACACCTCTCGACTCCAAATCTTAGCGAGGTTCAGCAGCAAATCAACAAGACGACAATAGAAAACCAAACTCAAACTTCAATTTTATCTCCGTGGAACTCAAATCCAGATTCAGAAAAAAAAAAGGTTTGTATGCGTCTTTCTCTGAAACTTTGAAAGGATTTTTCAAAGGAGAAAACAAACCGAAAACCATCAGTTTTAGAGCCTTTTTCAACCCTTTTTCAGAAAATTCTTTTTCTTTTTTTTTGAGTCCCCCTTCACAAAATCGGATAAGGCTTCTTTTGAAGACCAATCCTTGATGAATGTGGGGCTCGGATTAAGTGAAATCAATCCAACGCCTCACACTCATCCAACATCTCGTCTCCAGAGCCTTCCAATCGTGCGAGTGAGAGGAGAGGGGAATCTTTGGTGTCAGAAACCATTAGAAATGGTGATGAGGAGAGAGGGGGAATGCGTGAGGCGAGATTTGGGATTCACTTGCCCGAATCTGGACTGAATTTGGGGCCTGGTTCAAGCGATTTGGAGAAGAAGAACAGTAGGCATCGGTTTGGGACTTTAGGGCTCATCCGCTTGTTTCATTTGGGTTTAACCCATTATTTGGGGAGCGGGTCGGGTTGCAGACGGGTTGGCCGGGCGGGTTTGGCGTAATTGGGCTGGGGTGGGGATTTCAATTTGGGCTTGGACAAGAAAATTGGGATGAGTCCAATTGGTATTGCTCTTCCTTTTATTTTCACCTATTTCAATTTTTCCAAAAGTTCTCTTTGTTTTTTTTTAAGATTAAATAAAAATCTAAATTAATTCCTAGAACTTAATTCACCTAACAAACACTAATTAAACCCAAATGATAATTGTCACAACTAAAAAAAACAAATTAAAGGAAAAGCTACTTAAAATCAAAATTTAAAATTTAAAATGCAAATTAAACTATTTTTGTGTAATTTTCCTTTTATAAACAACCTAATTTCTTAATTAGCCCTAAAATATTAAATTAAATCCTGAATGCAAACGCACATATATTTTTATATTTTTCGTTAATTAAAATGCACAGACAAAACAAAAAATGCAAACAATTAACAGAAATGCTACAAAAATCTACGAAATTTGCAAATAATGAAAGAAATTATTTTGTTTTGAATTTGTGGGAGTAATTCATATAGGGCAAAAATCACGTGCTCACACCATCTTTTCAATTCAACCTTCTTTCTGTTCACAAACTCCTAATTCAATTACAATGTATGGCTATATTTACCAGTTTTTCTTGTGTTTTACAGGATCCTTCTTTGAAGAGGCCATTGAAAATTGGTAAAGAGGCTCATGGATTGTATTTCTGTTGCCATATATGCCTTTACTTTCTTGTTCTGTTTCTTCTCATGTTTCTAGTAATGCATGTAATATTTCTGTTGATCCCTTACCCCACAGTCTCTCATGTATTTCATCTTCTTCTGATAATAAAATGGATTTGGTTTGGCATCAAAGGTTAGGAAATATGCCCTACAATAGAATGACATCCATTCCTTTTCTTTCTTGTAAAATTAATTCCAAACAACCTTTCTTATGTTCTATTTGCCCAATGGCTAGACATCAAGATTACATTTTTCTGATAGTTTTATTAAAACTACTGCCCCCTTTCAATTAGTTCATATTGATGTCTGGGGTCCTTACCACACAAAAATATATAATGGTTTCAGTTATTTCCTCACCTTAGTTGATTATTTCACTAGAGTCACTTGGACTCATTTACTTCCATGCAAAGCCAGTGCTTTCTCTATCTTAAAAGCATTCACCATTATGGTTAAGGTCCATTTCCTTTCTTCAATTCAATCTTTCAGATCAGACAATGCTTATTAATTAGGCAGTACTAATGAAGCCAAACAATTCTTTGTTGATCATGGCATTCTACGTCAAACAACTATCATACATACTCCACAATAAAATGGGGTGGTTGAAAGGAAACATAAGCACTTATTAGAAACTTCTAGAGCTCTCCTATTTCAATCTACACTTCCTACCACATATTGGGGTGATTGTGTTTTGACTACCACTTACCTTGTAAATAGATTGCCTTCTTCTGTTTTGGGCAACATGTCTCCTTTTGAGAAGCTGCATGGTACTCCTCCAACTTATAATCATTTGAGGTCTTTTGGTTACCTCTGCTTTTCTACTACTCCCAAACCTGGCAGGGAAAAATTCCAGCCTAGAGCCATTGCCTCTGTCTTTTAAGGGTATCCCTGTGGCAAGAAAGGTTGTAAATTACTCAACCTTTAAAATCATTCTATCTTCTTCTCCAGGGATGTCCAATTCCAGACTCGGTCTTCCCTTATTCCTCTTCTAATTCTTCCTCAATTTTTCCAATTTCCTCATCTGATTCTGCTGTTGATTCAACTTTTTATTATCTGCTCGTTCCTTTCCTCCTAGCTCTACCCTTATTTCCTCATATGCTGCTCCTATCTCTTCCCCTTTCCTCCCTCATTCCTCTACTTCTTCCTCTTCTCTTGTCCCTTCCCCCATCCATGTTCCTTCTACTTCTCCTCCTCCCCTTAGGAGATCCACTAGAGTATATCAACCCCATGTCTATCTAGGGGATTATGTTTGCAATTTTGCTCTTCCCTCTACTTCTTCTCCTGTCCTGTCCAAGATTTCTTTTGATACTGCAGTCATGCATGAGCCTCAGTTCTATCAGCAGGCTGCTTCTCATCCTGTTTGGCAGGAGGCCATGCTACAGGAATTCAAGGCTCTTGAGGCCAACAATACTTGAGATGTTGTTCCTCTTCCTACTAACAAGAAACCCACCCCCTGTAAGTGGGTTTACAAGATTAAGCACAAGTCTGATGGTACCGTGGAAAGGTATAAAGTCAGACTTGTGGGGGACACACAGAAATAGGGCATTGACTACTTTGAGATTTTTTCTCCTGTGGTCAAGTTCACCACCATCAAATGTTTGCTTTCTATTGCCGCCAATAGGGGCTGGATTGTGCATTAACTTGATGTCAATAATGCTTTTCTTCATAGTGACCTTCATGAAGAGGTCTATATGAAGGTTCCACCTGGGCTTTCTGTTTCCTCTCCTTTCTCTTCTACATCATCCTCCCCTTTGGTTTGCAAGCTCAAGAAGTCACTATATGGCCTCAAACAAGCTTCCAGATAATAGTTTTCTAAGTTGTCTGAAGCTTTGTCTTCTAGGGTCTACATTTCAAGCAAGAATGATTATTCTTTATTTACCAAGTCTGTTGGGTCTTCTCTCACAGTTCTAGCCGTCTATATTGATGCTATTTTATTGGCTGGAGATGATGCTTTAGAATTGGATAATCTGAAAATGTTTTTGGATGAATAGTTCAAAATCAAAGATTTGGGTCATGTTCACTATTTTTTGGGTCTAGAGGTTTCTGCTACCCCTGAAGGGTTTCTTATATGCCAGCAGAAGTTCACTTCTGATTTATTGGCAGAGTTCAATTGCCACCACTTTACCCCTGTGGTTACTCCCCTAGATCCTTTAGTGAAGCTGTGCACTGATATGGGTGCTCCTTTTTTTGATCCCAGCACTTATAGGAGACTTGTAGGCAAGTTGAATGTTCTTCAACACACCTGGACTGACATTGCCTTCTCAGTTCAGCATCTTAGTCAGTTCCTTCAACATCCCCAGGTTCCTCATATGTTAGCTGGCATTCATGTCTTGAGATATCTTTTGAATACACCTGGGCAAGGGATTCTTCTTTCCAGCCATTTTGATTTCTCTCTCGTGGCTTTTTCTAATTCTGATTAGGCTGCTTGTGCTCGGTCCAGGAAGTCTGTTATTGGTTATTATGTCACTTTGGGAGGCTCTCCTATTTCTTGGAAGAGCAAGAAGCAACCTACCATCTCCATCTCTTCTGCTGAATTAGAGTATAGGGCTCTCAAGAAGGTTGTTGCTGAGGTTTCTTGGCTAGTGAAACTCTTGGGGGATATGGGCTTCGTACTGTCTTCTCCCATTCCCATCTTTTGTGACAGCCAGACTGCCTGTCACATTGCCAAGAATCCGTTATTTCATGATCGCGCTAAACATATTGAGATTGATTGCCATTATGTTCGTGATTGTTTGGCGTCTAGTTCGATTTCTTTGTACCATATTTAATCTCTTGACAACCTTGCTGACATTTTGACTAAGTCTCTTCCAGGTCCTGCTCATCATCATTTGCTTTGCAAGCTTGGAGTGCTTCACCCTCCAGATTGAGGGGGGTGTTGGACATCATAGATATTGTTTTAGTTTAGGCCCAATTATTAATACTAGAGTTCTGGATAATTATCCCATTTTTACATTTCATTTTAATTATGGATCCGACCCAATTGTATACAAGTAGGCAATATAGATATTTTGTAATTGGAACTCATTGTTGAATATACAGAATAAAAACTTTCTCTCTTCGTCTGTCTTCTCTCATGGTAAACTAGAGTCTCTTGTATTTTGTCTCTCCATTGTTGATCTTCTTCAGTCTAACATATATGTACAAACTTGTAACTCATAACTGACAATCAATCAATTTTACAATGGAGAAATGTGAAAATTACAAAGTGATGTTCCAAAATTCTTGACTCAAATAACACAATTTATCATTATGCATGAATAACTAATTAATTAAATCCATAAGGTATGAACTTTTAGCCGGCATATACAAGTTAAAATACCAAATTTTCAACTAATGGTACAAAATAAAGAAACAAAAAAACGTGGCAAAAGGAGCCAATTAGGGGAAAGAGTCGTTGATTAAGTAAGAATAATACGTAGTAATGATGATATTAATTAAAGAGTGCAACCCACTGGTAAGGGTGACCGAGTTGGTTGAGCAGGAGATCCCTCACATGAATATTGTAGGTTTGAAATATCCTGCATTCTTTCTCGATCGAGCTCGCCTCAGAGGTTTACCTAGTATGGTTCATCGCTCCAGCATAGTTTGTACGCTATTCTATTGAAGGGGGGTTTATCCAGAGCACACCCAAAAGATAGCTACCACAGATTCCCTAGTTTACCAAAAAAAGAAAAAGTGGAACCCCGATGAGTTTCTTTAAATTGGATTATTACGATCTGCAAATATACACGTATTAATGTCTTGTTTTGGTTGTTTTAGCTTAAAAACATTTGGTTTAAAATCACTCTTATGATTTATCCAAACACAAAAAAACTAAAAAGTGCTTAAAGCTAAGCTAAACTCAAAATTCCTTTGGCTTATTGGTTATGAATTAACTCAATGAGGAAATAAAAAGTCTTTGATCGGAAGCCATATATCCATATTACTAGATCTATACGGCATTCGCATAAAATTATACTTATATGTATAATAGATTTCTCCAATTATGATTGACGTGTTTAATTAAAATGAACTTTTCCAATTATATTTAGATTAAAATTCAAGTTTTGATGGAAACAATTAACAACACAATCTGGCATTTGTAATACGTAAGAACTAAGAACATGTCATGCATCAAAGGATGGCACAAAATACAATTACATGCATTCTCTAGCCTTTTTCCGTTAATAGTTGATGATGGCATTAGTATAACATGCATTCTTTTTTCGATAGACGATGAATTTTGTGACAAATGTCAGTTTTTTTTGCGGCCAAAAACGATAATTTAATTGCTTGAGAAACATATTATATTAAAAACCACCAACTCCCCTACATTATAATGTTCAATTGATGGGGTACACATTTTGAAATAAAAAAGAAAAAAGAAATCACCGATCTCTACATTATATTATTGTAAGAGGTAAAAAATAAAACATAGCCAGATGAAAAATAAAAATAAAACAACCACCACACAAACTAATATATGAAGATTGCTAAATTTCAACCTCGAACTATAGATTTGCTAATTAAATGGACCCTTGTGGTCTATGAGATCTGGGCTTTACAAAAGCATAGTGAGTGGGCTTACGTGGTTTAATTTGGTGAAAATGATACCAAGTAGCCATTTTTAAGCATGTTGTTTAAAATAAAATATATTCACAATTTATAATGTATTTAAAGATTAACTAATTTACTCAAACTTTAGTACGTCGTGCCCTGAAGTTTAAACCTCAAGGTTCAAACTTCAGGACATCGTGTCCTAAAGTTTAAACCTCAAGGTTCAAATTTCAGGACATCGTGTCCTAAAGTTTGAAAATTATGTCCAAAAATTCGAATCTTATATCCTGAATTTTAAATTAACAGTTCAAAAATTTAGGACACTTAGTCCAGAATTTCAAAATAACGATTCAAAACTTTAGGACACTAAGTTGTGAATTTCGAATTAGTAGCTCAAAAATTGAGGACACACAAATTCAAGATACTTAGACATGAAGTTGAGACGAATTGATTAATCTTTAAATATGTTATAAATTATGAATATATTTTAAATAAGATGCTTACAAGTGACTATTGCTGCACTTCTCCCTTTAATTTGGAGAAGATTTTGTCATAGGAAATGCTATTTTATTTCGTATAATTTTTTTTGTATATGAGTTGAATATGAAAATAAAATATAGAAAACATAGGTAAATAAAATACAGAAAATCTTTAAAAGTTTAATATTTATATTTATTTTAATTGTAACTGGTTACATAAGGATCTTTTTTTTTTTTGCATGCACATTTTGTTTGATTAAATGGTTGTTAATTTCATTTGGGACTATTATGTAACGGCTTCAATTCTCGTTTGGATTTAAAAATATAAATACGCTCTCATATATATAAAATGAAAAAGCTATTACCCGTTAAGCAAAGCAAAAAGGGTAAAAAAGGGAGCGCAATTTGAAAAGCAAACAGCGTAATAAGTTGGAGAAATCAGGCTATGAAGTTAAATAGAACGAACAAGCGAAGAAACTGAGAGAATCTTCGACAAAGCACACATGGCGGTCAAGCAGCTGATCGTTGCCGTTGAAGGCGCTGGCCGCAATTGGACCTTTCTGGCTAACAGTACTCATTCATGCACTGCAATCTCTGTGTGTGTGCGCGCGTGTGTGTGCGTGTGTGTGTGAATAGTGAAATTGATTCGTTATTAATTTTACTCATATCCTTGCAATGCAAAATAGTATACTACTATATACCAGAGGCAGAGCTAGAATTTTAAGTTTTGTGTGTTGGGGATTCTAGTTCATTTATGTTACTGGGTTCTAAATTTACAATATATTCAATGAATTTTTTTAAGACAAATACCCAAAGTTACTGGTTTGGCCGAACCCAAAAACAAATACCCAAAATTACTGGTTCGGCCGAACCCGCAATTCCTATGCTAGCTCCGCCCCTGCTATTTACTATTTGGTGTTTTTTATTGGAACTGAGTTGACAGTCAGTTTTAGTTGAGCATGTGTGAATAAAGAAGTTGATTCGTTATTAACTTTACTAATATCCCTGCAATGCAATATATTAAGTACTATTTATTGTTTGGTGTTTATATTGGAATTGAGTTGTGTTGACAGTCAGTTTTAGTTGTTTTTTCGTATTGTTTGGAATTTAGTTTATATTGGAATGGATTTTTGTGTGTGTGTGTGTGTGCGCGCGTGTGACTAATGAAGTTGATTCGTTATTAACTTTACTAACATCCCTGCAATGCAACATATTACTACTATTTATTGTTTAGTGTTTGGCGATGAGTTGTGTGGATAATCAATTTTAGTTGATTCAGTGTGTGTGTGTGTCAATAATGAAGTTGATTCGATATTAATTTTATTCATATCCATGCAATGCAACATATTACTATTTCCGTTTGGTGTTTTTATTGGAATTAAGTTGTTTTGACTTTTGAGAATCAATATTAGTTGATTTAGTGTGTGTGAATAATGAAGTTGATTCGTTATTAATTTTATTCATATCCATGCAATGTTACATATTCCTATTTCCATTTGGTGTTTTATTGGAATTGAGTTGTTTTGAGAGTCAATTTTAATTGATTGTTATTTAATTTACTTAATTATGTTTCCAATGTATATGATTGTATATTCCACCTTGTGTGATTTGATTTGAGTTGTGTTGACAGTCAATATTAGTTGATTTAGTAATATGCATATGATAGAGTGCTTAATTGTGTGACCATCTGATCCAAAACTTGAAGCTGCCAGAGGGATTACTGTTTAATTTGCTTAATTATGTTTCCGATGTGTAGGATTATGTATTCCACTTTGTGTGATTTGATTCGAGTTGTGTTGACAATCAACTTTTGTTGATTTAGTCATTCATATGGTATAAAGCTAAAATATTTGACCATATCATCCAATGTTAATGCTTAATAATGAAGCTATGGGTTCGGCCGAACCGAGTAGCCTTGACTCAGACCCTATATATGTGTTAAAAAATATATTAAATATTAAATATAGCATCTTGAACCTATATCAAATCCTGAAATTGCCTGTGCTTAAAGATACTTAGTTTGGCTTCTGATAGTGCAACAGGAGAAGAAATATTTCACGTGAAGTTAGTTACAAGACACCGAGGAGAGAAAAAGAAAGAGGAGAGGGGATAAAGACATTCTGAAAAGGGATTGGTTAGACCTGAAAATGGTTTGCTGCCTGGTTTTGAAGTTTTGTTTTTAATCTATATAGAATGCCCTCTTCTTTTCTCATGTGTAATGTGTCCATATCGTGAGGGATGATGTCCTTTATATGACCGTCCAGTTTGCTTAGGTGTCTTTGGATTTGCCAGTTTGGGTGGTCCTTGGCACCTTAATAATTTGTCGTAACCCTCCTGGGGGGCAAGGTGCTCATGCACTCATATTACTTTTGGTGATGGATTGTCAGTTGACATTGATAAGATCATTTGTGGGAAGTGACAATGATGGAATGATCACTAGATGCGCCAATTTAAAGGGCTTTCCAGTCCGATGCCTAGTTGTTGTGCTTTGTACATCCATGCAACAAACTGGGAAAGCTGGCGGTGGATGGTCACTCGCCCTCATTATCTGGGTCTGACTCGTTCCTGTAGTCGCCCATTCTATTGATCATCTCAAGCTGCTCGTTTAGACTGCTCAGCCTCAATCACTTCTCCGATCTGTTGATTTTTCTTGACTAAATTAACCTTTAGCCTTGTGATCCATGGGCTTCCTCTTGGCTTCTACTTCCAAGTTCGATTTTAACTGGATTAAAGAAACCTATACAAAATATATCAACATAATTAATGAGAAAGAGAGAAAACTCAATTGGAGGAATTCGAATTCCTGAGATTAGTGTTTGGATTGTGACCTTTGGCCATTAGCCCCCCTTATGAAATGTACTAAAAGACAAGGTGTAAAAATGCGCTCGAAGCTGAAAAAAGGCTATTAATAAACAAAGAAAAGCAAGTCAGTTGGAGCCGCAATTGGAAATTAGGCAAAAGCGAAAAAGGGGAATTAAAGAGAGTGAAGAATTGAAAAGCGGAAGTGAGAGCGAGGTATATAGCTTCCTTCCATAATTGAACTTTCCTCCATTCTCAATTTCATCTCCCATTCCTTAAGCTGTATGCGACCTGGTAAATAGAACCTCGCGCGGATAACAACAATCAATTTGCAGAATCTTTGGCAAAGCACACATGATGGAAAAACAGCTAATCGTTGCTGTTGAAGGCACTGCCGCGGTGGGACCTTTCTGGCAAACAATCATTTCTGATTACCTCGACAAGATGATACGGTACTCATTCATTCCACAACTCCCTCCGATTACCATCTGATCTACGTTTGCGTGGATCATTTCATCTTGACTGATTAATGAAGTTCATGTCGTCATTAATTTTATTGCTATCAATGCAAAGCAACTTATTTCTGTTTTGGTATGGTATTTTATTGGAATTGAGTTGTGTTAAGGATTGATTTTAGTCAAATTGGTAATGTGCATATTGCGGAAAGGGTTTTGCATGCCATCTTTTGTGACTGTACATTTGATTTAATTCGTCGATATTTAACAATTAGATAGTTACATGCTAGAATGCACCTGTAAGATTTGAATTTCATTTTAAAAAAATGAGACGGATTATTCACAAAAATTATTGGCATATGAGAGAGAAAAATATCATGCTATGATGCAAAATAGAGGACACGTCTCCACGGAGATACACCTCTATTTATGATGATTATGTCTAAAATAGCATTTGAGTTTTTGAGGAATTCCACTAGTTGACATTGATGGTGTTAAAGCCTTAATACCTAGTTGAACTTTGATAAAAGAATGAAAGAAAGAGGCCCTTATAAAAATTTAACCCTGAAAGGGATAGAAGTTTTCAGAGCTCAGGAGTATTCCTAAGGGCAGAGAAGACATTGCTTTTTCAAGGGGGGTTATTAGATGGCAGATCTGCCCTCCACTTTTAGTAAAAAATTGAAGCCTTGGGTAGTTGAGGCAAGGATCCTGACCTGTTTCCTAACCTTTTTTGCTTGCATTTTCAATGGTCTTGGGAAGGTGTGGTATCATGTAGATTGTAGTGAGACAATTCGCACCCATGTAGTGGTGGAGATGGCAGAGTGTGATCTTCATGGAGAAACATGTAATTTCAGTGAACAGATAAGTAGACAGGGTTAATTATTCTATCATTGTATGAGGATATCGATAATTGATGAAATGCGATGTGCTCATGTAAGAGGCTATCCAGCCATATTAGCAGAAATGGTACGTGGCTACCCGTGTTTTCTATTTATTTTTCCTTTGTTGGGTTGAAGGGTGTCAGAAGAAGATAACTATGTTCAAATGCAAAAACAGGTTTATGATTTTTTAACGGTTATCTCAACTATTGATTATAGGTAAAATGCTGTATCATATTCTATTTGCATTTGTCAGGAAGCGATAAAATTTTGGATACCTCCAGTTTCTTAGACTGTCATTTCCCATTATTTGACTTGCCTTGCTGCATTCGACACCTAAGGGAACTGCAAGCTTTGAGAAGTATAATTGCTGATCTTAAATCTGAAAGTTAGATATTAGCTATTTGGGAGTCTTAAATGCACTCCCAAATTTGTCAATTTGGACAGATTTGGATGAAGAAGATTGGACGTTTTAACACCTTTCCTAGTTTTATATGGGAACTTTTGGCATGTTTCCAGATGGGAAATGTTCTGGCCAGAATGATGTGGGTAACTTATCATGAAGGTTGCTTTCTATTTAACCATTTGTTTACAAAGTTGACATATACATCTCATGAGCCATATATTCATTTCCCCTCTCTGAGACCCAGGCTGTCGAGGAGAAAAATATGGTGAACAAACAACTTATTGTAGTTGTAGAAGGGACAGCAGCCTTGGGGTTTTATTGGCCTAAAATTCTTGTAGACTACCTGAAAGATATAATCAGGCCTGTTTCCTTACCTTTATGGCGGTTGTATTTTAGTTGTAGTATCCATTAGCTCCCAATTACATTCTTTCCCTTATTTGAGATGTTTTCCAGAGGATGAAGGTAGCAGAGATGAGGATGCTGAGGTGGATGTGCGGGCACACTAGGATAGACAAGATTAGGAATGAAGATATTAGGAGAAAGGTGGGCGTGGCACCTGTGGATGACAAGATGCGGGAAGCGAGGCTCAGATGGTTCGGGCACGTACGGAGGAGAAGCCTTGATGCTCCGGTGAGGAGGTGTGAGCGGTTGGCCGTGGTGGGTACCGGAAAGAGGTAGAGGGAGGCCTAAGAAGTATTGGGGAGAGGTGATTAGGCAGGACATGGTACGATTGCAGATTTTCGAAGACATGACCCTTGATAGGAAGGTCTGGAGGTTAAGCATTAGGGTTGTAGGTTAGGGGGTAGTAGAGCTTTCCTTACTTCATACCCGGGGTGAGGCGGGGTTGGATTAGGGTTGATCTTAGATGGCTTGCAGTTTATGTTGAGTCCACACTATCCTTGCTGTTTATCTTAGCCCCGGGTCTTGGATATTGGTTACTGCTGTTGCATGTCATTTATCTTTTGGTTGTTATGCTTCTGTTACTATTACGGTTTCTACTGGAATTACTAATGAATTGTCTTTTCTTGTTTTTATTTTCGTCTTTCTGAGCCGAGGGTCTATCGGAAACACCCTCTCTGCCCTATCGGGGTAGGGGTAAGGTCTGCGTACACATTACCTTCCCCAGACCCCACTTTGTGGAATTTTACTAGGTAGTTGTTGTTGTATTTGAGATGTTTTCCCTTATTTGAGATGTTTCTATGTCCTTTTTATGCGTCTTTTTTGTTTTGCGAATGCTCTTGTAAAGGGTGATGTTGGTCACTTAAACTTACATCACTTTATTTCTCGTCATGTATGGAGCAACCCACACATAAGAACATGTTGTTGAGTAGAACGCTGACAATTACCGTCAATCCGGCTCCAGGGTTCTTTTTGTTTCACTTTAGTGATTTTAGCATAGAGCTATTAACTCATTAGCTTTTCAATTTTCATATGCTTATCCCATTAAGAGAATGTGATTGTTCCAATAATATTCATATGATGATTGCAACTATATCTTGATTTAAAGTTTAAACTAGTTTATGACCTGTGTTAGTATTTTTCAAACATTATGTTTACTTGATTAATAGGCTTGGGTAATTTTTTCAGGTCCTTCACTAAATTGGAGCCAATAGAAAAGGTTCGTAAATTTTATATGATTCATCTTGTAAACCCCTTACTCTTCTTTAGTATTGCATGATGGTGATTGTAATGTCCAAGATACCCTATACTTGAATAGGGGAAGATGATATTCCATTCATGAGTTGAAGGCAATTATTAACTTCTCATGTGATTCTTTTAGTTATCTGATTTTACTTTCTTCTGTTGAAATTCCAGAAGCCATCTGCTGGCAATTGGCAGCTCGCAATGGTGGTTTTCACGGTGCATGGATCCCATGGTGGTTTGTGTCCATTTTATTCTCCATTGCCTTATTATGTTGGCTAACCCATTGGCCATTGCAGCTTAAGTATGAACAGTAGTTGTGCCTATAATTGGCCATTCACATTGAACCATGAGACCTGTTTGTCTATAATTTTTTTTTCCTTTTTTCTGAAACTCATCTCCAAATAAATTCAATTTTCAAATACCTTTTTTCAACTTAACTTCAAAAACTTCTTTTTTTTCTTTCAAATCTCACATTGTTTTATGTCCAAACGCCAAACGAATCTGTAGGGACCTTTTATGGGCTGTTTTGTACATCATCATTCCACCGTTATTAGGACCATTTTCTTCTGTGATCCTTGTGTACTCCATAATTTGGTGAAATATTTCAGTACATGATTTCCACATGTCAAAATCTTTATATGCAACCGAAGAACTGTTAAATTCTGTGTGATTCTCATAAGCCATCCATGACTTGAAAGTTGTTCCAGTTCTCTATTGCTCATGAGCCAAATCTTTCTGTTCAAGACATGAAGTAGACAAATACTCTCTTGTAGTTTGTGCAGTAAATCCTAAATTTTACTTAAATACTTTTCAATTTTTCCAGATTGATTTTTTCATTTATATTCCCTCAAATTTAGTAGTAGACTCTTGTTTCTGAAGTAGAAACCTTCAGCTTGTTATGGGTGCAGCATGCTCCATTCTTGTGTAAATCTCTTCGGATCCTGTGACGCTATCTCATGTAGAACTTGCTATTCAGTGAGTCCCCGTGTCCCCTCCAAACCAAAACAAAAGTAAAAGATTGCCCTGAGCAACATTAAAATTTGATGGGGATAATGTGTCCTAATTCAATGTTTTGAGGCTTTCTTTCACCTCTCGCGTGAGAATAAACATCTTTTTCTTTTTCTTTCCGGTTGACATGTCGTTTCTTTTTCATCTTCCATTTTCACCATCTTTAACACAGCTTGCCTGGTTCGACGAAGTGGATGGACAACAGACATAGATATGTTTTTCCAATGGCTATCAGCTATACCTTTCTCAGGTGGTGGTTTCAATGATGCTGCAGTTGCAGAAAGCCTTGCAGAGGCATTGACGGTGTGTTTTACTGTTTAGGATATTTTGAATACGAGTTTGGCTTTTCTGTCTCAAAGTGGTATTGTGAGTGTAGTTTTGTTTTGCTTGGTATTATTTATACATATCGTACTGTTTTACTTTCTATTACACGCTTGGCCATGTGTGCTTCCTTTTCCTTTTTAGAGAGTTCTCTGTGGGTTGATTGTTGAAGAGTAAAGAGGGGTTGGCTTTGGGGCAAAGCCAACAAGTCACAATGCTTCTCATTTTGAAACAGAAACACCATTGTGCTGTTTTCTGTTTTTGAGTTGGTCTAGAATCTGGTTTGTTTGGTCTAAATTTAAAAACCAGACAAGTGGTTGCCAATACTAACAGCCCCGAGTTTCTTATCAACCATGCTGTAGTGTAGGAGGAATTGATTATGTAGTGGACAGAACTTTGGTCTATGTCAGATCACAATGTAAACTGAACTGCTTCTATTCCACATACATAGCCTTTCTCTGCAGAACACAAATGTGTTTCTTCCTCATGCTGCATGTATATAAATATTTCACTCGACTGATGTTTCATGCAGATGTTTTCTTCACTCAATGGAAGCCAAACTCAACAAAATGTGGATGGGCAAAGACATTGCATACTTATTGCTGCAAGTAACCCTTATCCATTGCCTACACCAGTTTATCATCCACATATGCAGAATGTGGAGCAGAGTGGAAACATTGAAGCACATACTGCTAATCGACTATCTGATGCTGAGACAGTTGCAAAGGAATTTCCTCAGGTACTGTCGTACTGATGGTCTTTCCTCTTCAAAACCATGGTGCTTCTCTCATAATCCTCCGCTTATTGTTTTTATTTTCTTGCAGTGCTCTGTTTCCCTCTCAGTTATATGCCCAAAGCAGCTTCCGAAATTAAGAGCAATATATAATGCGGTAATTATACAGTTTTTCATTGAGTTTTTTCACTTGTTTTTAGGGTCACAACCTTGACAGTATGTTGAAGTTTAGCTCGTCTTAGTTTGTGATCCACAGTTATTACTGTTGCATATCCGTTCAAACACCTGTAGGATTAATTGTGTCACCCTCTGTTGAACTGAAAAGCTTCTAAATTTGAGACCCATTTACAATAGTTCTATGTTGAGGATACAGGCAGTAAAGTGATGATATTATATATATATATATATTTTGTTCGATAAGTGCACATAGTTTAAGTTGTACGGAATGCTGTTAGAGGAACTCCCTTTTTAAGTTCTTTCCTTTCTGGGTGCTTAAACCATCAGGAGCATTCCAATAGCTCAAAACTATGGATTCAGATAGAGAATAGCAAATCTGAATTTGATAGTCTACACGACATTATCACTCGTTATTGCTTTGTCTTGAATAAAAAAAGACAACCCATGTGAAATCTCTAGTCCCAGTTATTTCAAACTCATTGTGCTTGTTTATCACATGTAATATTTACCAAGTGCTCCAGAAAGTAGATTCCTGTAAACATTGTTGCCCATTTAAAGCTGTCACCGTTGAGAGAATGAAGCTTCCCTTTAGAATCCCAAAACTGAGAATGTGAAATATCCCATAGGAGTGGAGAAACTTCTAGCTTCATCATGGGGAAGTGTGGCATTGTGGATAAGTTATTGCTTTCTCTTTAGTTATCTTGAGATTCCCCATACTGCTTGATTTACTAAGTCATGGTTTCTGACTTTAGATCCTTTCATCATTCAGAAGAATGAATTATAAATGCTGCTGACTTGGCATGCAATGCTAACCTGGCATAGTTTTACTGCTGGTGATTTGAAATGCGAAACATATTCCCCTTCTCATTTAGTTGACTATACTAAGTGCAAATTTGTATTGATCTAGGGAAAACGTGACCCACAAGCAGCTGACCCGCCCATTGATACATCCAAGAATCCAAACTTTCTTGTCTTAATTTCGGAAAATTTCATCGAGGCTTGTGCTGCTTTCAATCGCACTGGAATGGAAATTTCGGCGCTAAACCAGATCCTGGTCGAAATGGATATGTCTTCTGTAGCTCCAGTTTCTGCGCCAGCAGCAACTTTTGATCCAGCAGGTTCAGGCAAAATCTGGAACTCTCTCTTATATACATGTGTTGTACGAATGCTTGCCCCATATATTGCTACCTTAAATCTATAGATATGCTGATTCATTTTGGATGTCCTTCTCTGTTGAAGAAGAATATTTCGTGAATATAAAGTGAGTAGTAGCCTAAGAGGATAAGTCAATAATTGAATGCATAAAATGAAAGGGCGCAGTTGACCCAAAGTGCTGCACTTCTCTGCAAGTTGGGTTCGAGTGATCTGTGAGATAGATCAACCATTTGACACTGTAGTGAAGTCAGCAATACCACAGTATATCTCACATATCTGGAAGACGTTTACTAGCCTGATATAATTTGAGTTTAACATCTTGAAACTTTTCATTGCTCTTGATTGAATCCAGAAAAAAGAAAAACCAAATGATAGTAATAATAGTATTAAAAGTAGCGTTTATACTTTATAGTAGAAGCAATAACACCAATGATAATGATAGTGATTACGATGACAGTGAACCATCAAAATTCAGGATACATGTGAATTCTTTCACTCTGCTCTCTCCATTTTGTTCTTCCTTATGCTGCTGCTGATTAATTTGTTTCAATAGCTGAGCTAGGCCTGTTGGATAGATGACTGGTGCTTAACTGATCAACTGGATTTTCTCTGTTGCTAATTCGTGCCTACTGTGTGTCCACCCCCCTTGTCAAAATTGTTTGAGGCATAAAAGCAGGCAGGCCTTTTTGCTTCTTACTCATCTATTATTGTCTTTTTCTGAAGTTGGGTTGAGTTGCGTCTGCTTGAATACCGTCTTATATTTCACTTCAAGTTATGGATAGTTAAAAATAATGAGTTCTCTTTCTTACGATATGTAGACTACTTCAATGTTGATAGTCGTTGGCTCATAAATCTCATGGTAGAGCATCCTATAATATATTGGCGATTCACTTTTTGTTGAAAGCTCTGATTTCTTTTCTATGTACCTTTCAGTTATGAGTCAACAACCAATTTCAGCTGGAAGTATTCCCTCTGCAACCGTAAACATGGTAAGATTCAATAACTTGTTTCCTTGCTTGTCCTTTGGATGGAGTATTTGCTTTGCTAAAACACCATAGAGAATTGTGGATGTCATGATCTTATTACATATGTTTTCAGGAGCCCACTACTGTAACCTCCGTTACTGGACCTGCTCTTCCACATATTCCTACTGCTCGTCCTACTTCTCAACTAGTTGCAAGCTTGCAAAGTGCTTCACCTATTTCTGTTTCTGAGGAGGTGGTCCCAAATAATGAGATTGTTAATGAAACAAAACCTATTCTCAGTGGGATGACACAACCCTTACGTTCATTTAGTGGTGCAGCTGCAAATGCCAGAATACTGAATGATGTTGCTCAAGCCCAGGCACTTGTTGGGGGAACTTCAATAGGACTGCAGTCTATGGGTGGGACACCTATTCTATCAAATATGATACCTGGTGGAATATCTTCTTCTATACCTGCTGCTCCAACTGTTTTATCATCTGGGCAACTAGCTGTCACTTCAATGTCTGGGTTAGTGCCATTAGCAGGAACTGGTCAGATAGCTCAAAACTCTGTTTCTGCATCATCCGTTTCGATAGCTCCCAGTATGTCTGGAAATTCAAACCTTTGCGTGTCCCAACTTTTGAGTAATATCCAAGGAGGTGTTAGTGCAGTCATGCACCAGAATGTGCTGAGTGGAACGGGTGCTGGTATGCCTTTTGGAACTGGCACACTGATGTCTACTCCAAGGATGACTCAACCAGGACACCCTGGAATGCAGCCTCTTGGCAGGAATAACAGTACAGAAGCTAACATACCTCTGTCTCAGCGGCAAACATCTGCTACATTGTCATCAGCTCAATCAAACTATGTCAAAGTCTGGGAGGTAAGGCCAACTAATAAGTAGAAAGAGCTGAAGATGGAAGGCAGACTCTATGTTCCATAAGAAAATCTCTATTAAAGTTTTCACAGTCTACACGACAGATAAATAGGATTTTAAATTTGAACAATTTTAAAGAGTTTTTGTGCATGAAGTTTTTGTACTACATTATCAAAAAAAAATGTCTTGAAGTTTTTGTGTGTCAGTTGATACCTTGATTTAAGAGTCAAGAAGTGTCTGATCCATAGATTGATTAGCCGCTACTACAATCTCTTCTGACGATTCTACATTGGTTGCTCCTAAAGTACAATCTTGTGGTCATTTTTTCTTCTCGAGGTGATTAGACAAACATATGTATGATAACCACTGAAGGAATCCTTTTAAGGAGCTTTCTGAAATCACTTTGAAGGTTGCAATCGACTGCAAATTTCTTGCTCCATTTTCTAGATACCTGTTGTCAACATATCACATTCGTGTTCGTCCATCAATATCTGGAGAAATTGTGCTTGTAAAGTGTGAATTGATGTTTTAGTGTGAGTCTAAAATCTAGTAAATAAATTAAACTAATTTGAAATGTGTCCGAGTTCAACTAATCCTGGAAACAGCCTCTCTACCCTTCCGGGGCAGGGGTAAGGTCTGCGTACACTCTACCCTCCCTGGACCCCACTAGTGGGATTTTAGTGGGTATGTTGTTGTTGTTGTTCGAGTTCAACTAAATTCAGTAATGTGTTCCAGTTCTTAGTCATTTTGTTGCTTTCTTTGGTGACTCGTGTCATAAGTTTATATTAGAAATATGAACAGTATAACAACAACAACAACAACAACAACAACAAAAAACCCAGTGTGTACGCACACCTTACCCCTACCTCATAGAGATAGAGAGCTTGTTTCTGATAGACCCCCGGTTCAAAGAACAATGAAGATAAAGCAAACCAAGTAGCAAAGCATATTAGCAACAATGTAACATGGTAATGGGCGTGAATGCCACAACATGCATAATAAAGAACCATAAATAAGAAATTACAAAAATAGTCCTAGTACTACTGAATGGCCTAGGAGGAACACACTACTATCTGTCAACCTACAACCCTAATTCTCAACCTCCACACCTTCCTATTGTGGGTCATGTTCTCTATAAGCTGAGCAATGACATGTCCTGCCTAATTAGCTTTCCCCAATACGTCTTAGGCCTACTCCTTCCCCTCCTCGGACCCGCCATGGACAACCTCTCACACCTTCTCACCGGAGCATCTATGTCTCTCCTCTTCACATGCCTGAACCATCTCAGCCTCGATTCCCGCAACTTGTCCTCCACAGATGCCACTCCTACCTTGTCCCTAATAACTTCATTCCTAATCCTGTCTTTCCTAGTATGCCCGCACATCCATCTCAACATTCTCATTTAAGCTACTTTCATCTTTCGGCCATGAGACTTCTTGACGGGCCAACACTCAGCTCCATACTAATATGAACAGAAAACTGAAACTGAGAAATCAGAGGATGGCACACCGAGAAGGAGGGAAGGGGCTTGACATGCAAAATGTGATATTATGCTTCCAAATCCATGGGGTAAAATAATGAACAATATTTAAAGATGAGTATTTGTTATAGCATATACTAGTTACAAGATTAGAATGTTGATTGATGCTTAAGCTTAAATCTACTGGATGACTACTGAATTTTTCTCATAAAATATGAGTATTGAATTTTTCAAATACTTTATAAGATTACACTCAAAACAAAGTAGTTAACATGACGTCTTAAGATGGTAAGGTGTAGCAGGTTGAAGCATTGTGAGCAGAACATGATTAATAGGCTTTTAGCATTCAATCCATATTTTTTCTTTGTTAAACCAGAGATAATGCATTTTGATGAAAAGGGCAATAGTGAGACGTCAACTAGGTGTCTCGCTCTTTCTATTAAAATATAGTGCTTTCTTTGCTCTTCTACTACTAGGGCAGCCCCGTGCACTAAGCTTTCTTTGCTCTTCTATTACTAGGGCAGCCCCGTGCACTAAGCTCCCGCTATGCGCGGGGTTCGGGGAAGGGCCGGACCACAAGGGTCTATCGTACGCAGTCTTACCCTGCATTTCTTTGCTCTTCTACGTTTATTCTAATCTTCCTTGACAATTTGGAAGAGTACTGAGATATGATGTTTCTGCAGCTTTATTTACTTGAACCATAACCAAAGTTTTGTGAATTAACTATTTTGTGAACATCTGAATGTGTTTAGTGTGGTGATTTCCTTACGAATTGCATTCATTCAAGTAATTGACAATGTTGATAAATGGGGTCCTTATTGTCGGTACATACAGTTCTATTTTTCTGTGTATGTTTTTAAAATGAACTTGATTGTTTTGGTAAACCATTTTAGTCATCCACTGTGTTCCATTTTTCCAATCATTTTCCTTAGAGATTAACTACATGCAGCTGCATTTTTAGATTATATTGATGAACCACTGCTAACTTTATGATGAAAATGTTGCAGGGAGACTTATCGGGGCAGAGACAGGGAGAACCTGTACTTATTACCAGACTCCAGGTGTGTGGGAACTTGTTATCAGAAATTAGGTCCTTTTAATAGTTTCATTATCAGGTGACAGTGGCCAAGGGATGGCGCTCCAATTTTCGGAATTTGTCAGTTATCAAAAAAAGATTGTAATTCCTTTTTCATGCTCTAAAATGATATTTGATTCTTTGCTGATTGAGTAAGATCTTGCGGTTTATTCTCTCTTGTGGCAGGGGTTCAGGATTGCTTCAGCTTCTAAATCGTAAGTACATTTTCATTAATGCTTTGATTTAACTGCTCTTTTGCAATTCAAGTTGATCACAGTGGTAGTTACCTCTCTTTGAGTGAAGCTACTAAATTCTTTCTCCGCATGCGTAGGAGAGTACATCATTGTTTCTCAAGGTTAGATGGTTTTAGCACACTACCACTATTTTCAGCGTTCAAGATACTTACACTTTACAACATTCATATCTTAAGCCTAATGAACTGATGTTTAGGACTCAAAAATAATTTCATTTTTGTGATGCACTTAACCTCTCAAGTTCTTGCAACAACAGCAAATTGAAGATCAGTGAAAAGACTAAAGACCTCATTGTTAAGTTTCAAGAACTTGCTACTTGGAGAGAGATGGGTGACCTTAGTCTGGTGATCCTTCATAAAATTCTTTTACTGAAGCTCATCCAGTTTTTTTTTTTTTTTTGAATTGATAACTTTTTTATATATTAATAACATTAGTACATAGGTTGTACTAAAAACCAGATTTACAAGTAGGTGGTAAGTAGATGTGCTGGTGTGCAACCTAGCAAGATCCTAGTATGTCTACGATTGTCAATGTATCTTCTGTGTAAATCTGTTTACACCAAAAACAAAAAAGAAAAATACAATTGAGTTTAATCTTCTGTACTGGGTTGCTTCTATCTTCAAAACATCTAGCATTCCTTTCCCTCCAAACTGTCCACCAGATACAAGCCGGGACAGTCCTCCATCTATCTCTGTTAGTTGCTTCAGCACCAGCTTCTTCCCAACTATAAAGAACTTCATTAATCCTGCATGGCATTGTCCATGAAATACCCCTAAGACTAATAAAGATTTTTCATAGTTGGTCTGTTATCTTGCAATGTAGAAATAAATGGCTAGCAGTCTCAGCGTTTTCCCCACATAGGAAACATCTTGAACACAGAGAAATTCCTCTTTTTATGAGATTATCCTGGGTTAATACAACCTCCTTTGCTGGTAGCCAAGAGAAACATGCTACCTTATATGGAATCTTGGTCCTCCATATATGCTTCCATGGCCAAGCATCTATCTGAAGATCATTTTGATTCAAAATCTTATATGCATCCTTCACATGATAGACCCCTCTGTTGTGCCTCTGCCACCAAAGTGAATCCACCCCTTCATGTAATCCTTTAAATGCTTCCAGCTCTTTGTAGAGGTTAGCTAATCTTGTTATCTCCCAGTCATTCAACTGTCTTCTAAGAGTGAGTTCCCATCCTTGATAACTCCACATATCAGCAAGTGTCCTATGCTGGTTTTGCGCCAAACCAAATATATCGGGGTATCTTTCCTTTGGGCTTCCATGTCCCAACCAATTATCATTCCAGAATGATGTGTTCCTTCCGTTGTTCACTCTTATGGAAGAGTGAATCTTCATTATAGGCCAAAGTTCTCTGATGGATTTCCACACACTAACTCCATATGATATGCTGACTTTGTTTGACACCCAGTTATTTTCATCACACTTAGCTTTGATCACTTTGCTCCATAAAGTTTGAGGTTCTTGAGAATATTTCCATAGCCATTTCATTCTAAGAGCCTTGCTTTGATTCTTCAAATTTCTTATTCCTAAACCACCTTGTTTTTTGGCCATTGTGAGGAATGGAAGACCTTTTTCTCTTTATTCCCTTGCCAAAGGAAGGATCTTCGGAGTTTGTCCAGTCTCTGTATGATTCCAGCAGGAATTGGGAACAAAGACATCATGTAAGTAGGAAGTGAGTCTAATACTAAGTTGGTTAAAACTAGTCTGCCCCCCATTGATAGGTATTGCGATTTCCATCTTGACAGCTTCTTCTCACACTTTTCAATGACTGAATTCCAGATCTCTTTGGACTTGGATCTTGCACCAAGAGGCATCCCAAGGTATACAGTTGGTAGGGACCCTACTTCTCCTCCCATTATCTGTGTCAGTTGCTCCATGTTATTAACTTCATTAATGAGATAAATATGGCTCTTTCTCCAGTTGATGTGTAGTCCTGAAATTCCCCCAAATAAGACCAAGATGATCCTTAGAAACCTAAGTTGCTCCTCTTCAGCGTCACAGAAGACTAGAGTATCATCAGCATATTAAAGATGTGTGATCTTTAGACTGTTTGCCCCATTCCTCTGAACCTCGAAACCTTTAACCCAACCATTGACTTTGGCTGTTTTAATCATGTTATTCAGTCCTTCCATGACTATAGTGAATAGAAAGGGAGATAAAGGATCACCTTGTCTTAGACCTCTGTGTGCATGGAAGAAATCTTCACGAGATCCATTTATGAGAATGGAGAAATTAACAGTAGATATGCAAAATTTCATCCAACTGATCCATTTCTGCCCAAAACCCATTTGTTCTAACAATTTCAGTAGAAAGCTCCGGTTGACATGATCATAAGCCTTCTCAATATCTAGTTTGCATAGGATTCCGGGTTCTTTCTTTTTGATTCTTGAATCCACAGCTTCATTAGCAATCAACACTGCATCTATTATTTGTCTTCCTTTGATGAAAGCCATTTGTTGAGCATTTACTAGTTTTCCAACCACCCTCTTAAGTCTTTCAGTCAAGACTTTTGAGAGCAGTTTGTAGAAACTACCTATCAGATTGACCTGAAATCTCTCAATTCTTTCGCACCTGTCTTCTTTGGTATCAAGGCTATGTATGTCATTGAAGCTTTTCTCAAACATCTCTTGGGAATGGAAGTTGTTGAAGGCCTCCATGATGTCGTGCTTCAAAATATCCCAGCACTTAATGAAAAAACCCATTGTGTATCCATCTGGACCTGGGGCTTTGTCAGTTGCACACATCTTCAGACAGCTCAGGACTTCTTGTTCCTCAAATTTACTCTGGAAAGACTCCTTCTTTGATTCAGAGATTTTTGGACTGTTTTCGAAATTGACTGTCGGTCTCCACTTTTCAGGTTCTGTGTATAACCCCTTGTAGAATTCAATGATCACATTCTTTATTCTGTCTGGCTCCTCAACTGCTTCATCTTGAATCATTAGTTGATCAATATTGTTGTTTCTCTTGTGTGCATTGGCAGTACGATGGAAAAACTTTGTATTCCTATCCCCTTCTTTGAGCCATAGAGCTCTTGATTTCTGTCTCCATGCACTTTCTTCGTTCTTGAGGTGATCCTCGAACTCCATGAGGGTAGTTGCCTTCCTCACTGATTCCTCCTCTGTCAGAGCTCTTAATTGTTGTGTTGCCTCAAAACCTGCTTGACTCAGCAATTTTGATTTTTGCAATCCCAGATTTCCTTTACAACTTCTGCTCCATTCTTTTAGCTTGCCTTTGAGAGCTTTTAATTTGCAAGCTAAAATATAGTCTGGTCTTCCTGAAAATTCAAAAGATGTCCACTAGTTTCTAATTTTGCCATCAAAACCTTCCACGTTCAACCACCAATTTTCAAGCTTAAAGTATGATTTAGCTTGTTCCCAGGCACCACAGCATAGAGCCACTGGTGAATGGTCAGAAATCAGCCTTTGTTGGAGAGTTTGCTTGATATTTCTGAAGCTTTCATCCCATTCTTCTGAAATGAGAAATCTATCAATTCTAGAAGCGCTTGTATGATTATCCCCTTTGAACCAAGTATAGTAGCCTCCTTCGAGTTGAAGATCTATCAACTCCATGTCTTCTATAAAATCCGAGAATTCCACCATCTCTCTGGACCTCCTCGAGCATTCCCGTTTTTCAGAAGGGTACCTTGTGACGTTAAAATCACCACAGACTACCCAAGGGCCTTCCATTAATCCCCTCACTGCACCAATTTCTCTCCATATTGTTCTTCTTTCTATTCTGCAATTTGGAGCATACACTCCTGTTATATGACATCGAAATTCTGTAAAAGAGCCTCGAACTTGCATGTCAAAGTGTATGCACCAGTCTGTAACACCTCCCATTTCCATACTCTGCAATCCCATAGTAACAAAATCCCCCCTCTCGTGCCACTAGCTTTTAAACATGCATACCTCACCCATCTCCCACCCTAAATTTGATTTACTATTTCCTTGATATCCCCCTCCACTTTTGTCTCTTGCATACAGACATTATCTGTCTTTCAATTCAGCACTTGACTTTTTATGATCTCTCTTTTCTTCTTGTCATTTAATCCCCTAACATTCCATGAAATTAAATTGATCTTCATATTGCAATAATAGATAGATCTCTTCCCCTACTTCTTTTCCCATCACTCTTGAATTTGACATCAAAGGAGGTTAATCCTTTTAATTCCAGTGAGCCTTTGAACCTTTGTTTCTTCACCTCTATCTCTGTCTTCACTCTTCTAACTTGTCTGCAACTGTCAATTTGCATTAGTAACTCCAATGCTTCTTCTTCGTGGCCTTCAAAATTTACTCCAAACATTTTCCCCAATTTGATCATATTTTGATGGACCCACAGTGTTGCATCCATCTCTTTATCCATTACTGGATTGTGTTGTTGTACTGATATAGGAGTAACCTTCTCGATTTCCCAATCTTGGATAGAGTTGAAGTGCTTCAGCTATTGTTGGTGCTCCAATGCATTTTCAACTTGATCTTCCCCCATCTTTTTGTTTATGGTATGCTCCCCTGCCTTCTGTCCCAATATTCCTATCTATGCTTCACCTTCTGGCTGATCGCAACTCATATGTGTTGCTTGTGGCATAATTTCAAGGTTTGCAATGGGAATTGGATCCCCCGGATTGGATTCTTTGACTTTCAAGTAAGAGGTGTACCCCAGATCGAGTTTCCTCTTTTAGGAATGAAATGGAGAAAGTTTATATGTCCCTCTGCATATTTATCATGGACAGATTTTAATTTCTATTTCTAACTCAGATCTTTATTGCACCATGCATACATCCTAGCGTATTTTAAAAGCTGAAGACCACAATAGTATCCTCTGGGAAAAATTTGAATCCAAATAAATGAGATAATAACTAATAAGAAACATGGTATTGTGTAGCATGGATAGGAAACGGCATCAAATTGGATAAGTGGTACGAGAAAAAGATACAAAGTTCTTAAAATTATGGGGATAAGGTGCGGTGAGTAGTTCTAATGCGGAGGAAAAATTTCCAAAATCTGAGGGACGCAGCGTGAAGCAACAAACAAGAAAACCTGAACTCAGAAGCACTGCTGTAGACCAATTTGAACCGGGGGATAAAGTAGTGAAGGGGAAGAGGGAGAGAAAGAGGAAGACGAAGAAGAAGAAAACTTGAACCAGTATATGGCAGTAGACAAAACATGGTGTTGACGTATAAGGCACTCATGTCCAAAATGTAGGACGGTGTCTAAAACTCAAAAGATTATGGGAAATAAAAACATGTCAGCTATGCGTTCAATGCATGTTCACTGCATCTCCCCTACAAAAGTCTTGACTCCAATACACAACTTCAACTATTCCAAAAGGTGTGTATCAAGTATGAGAAGATATGATATTGTCAGAAACTTTTAGTAGTGGCCTAATGTATTATAAAATTGTTGGTCAAAGTGAAGGTAGAGCAACAGAGAAAAGGCAAGCAACCGAGAAAAGGGAGTTGCTTGATACACACCCTCCTGGAGATTCTCTTGGGGTTAGATGAAAAGATGAAAGCGAGCACCGATATTTAACTGTCTAAAGAAATATGAATGTGGCAGATATACTAGTTTCTTATCATTTTCTAGCATCATCACTCGCAAAGCTTGTGAACTATTCTTTTTACTGAAAGCTTTAAGCATCTGACTTGTTCCTTTAGCTGAAATCTTTATATTCTCCAACCTGCATTATATTTTCTTTGCAGCTTACTAAGGCGTGAAAGGTCCCTGATACTTTAGTTTTCAGTTAGAGGCTTTATCTGAAACAAATTGTTGAAAATCTTTCAAATAACACGGGGTTCAAGATGATAAACTATTTTCTGTAAAGTTCTATTTTTGCAGCTTAGTTGCATGAAAGACTACTGTTAAGATGATCTCATTATTGCTTCTCTTCTATGTAGCTGTGGTAGATGATGCCAACTATATACACATTAATCCCACACTCTATTGGGGTCGGCTATATGACTATGTCGCTCCATTTAAACTCATCTCAGGCTAATATTTACAAAAATAAAAATAGAAATAAAAAGTAATTGTAGTTCTCTACATTTTCTACTGGTATATAAATCTTTTTCATGACTAAAGGACTCCTAGAAAGCATAGGACCTAAAGTAAACGTACTAATATGACTAATACATATTTCCAACTAATTGATATCGCATATATAGATCTTTTCTTCCGTTGTGCCGTATTTTTGGTCAAGTCTGCATGGATTCTGTGAAGACGTTCCAAACCGGTGGTTTAATGGATGGGTAGTCTCTTTAATATGGCTTGAGAAATCCTCACCTCTTGAGCTAGATTTTGGAGTTGAGTTAGGTCCATTTAACATGATATCAGAGCAGCACCCATTCCAACCCGATGTTGGGCCCCCGTATTAGCCCACGTTCCAGATATCCAGCCCCTGAGGGTGTGTGTGTGTGAAGAAGTCCCACATCAGTGATTTAAGGGATAAGTGGTTTCTATAATATGGCTCGGGTAATCCTCACCTCTTGAGCTAGCTTTTGGGGTTGAGTTAGGCCCAAGGTCCATTTAACAGAATCCGTCATGTCAACTAGATAAGCTTAATTTTCTTGGCTTATAAGGAAATTCAACTTTTTCTTCTTTGTCTATCGCTATGACTTAATTGCACCTTAAATCTTTCAAAGTATTATACTGCATTAACACTTCGAACTGATTTTTTTCTTTGATCAGGCTTGCTGCGGATTGGCCCCAAACAATGCAAATTGTTCGCCTTATTACGCAGGAGCATTTGAATAATGAGTAACTCTTCTGAGCCAAAAATATTTTTGATCTTGCTGGATCTTCTTCATTTGTCAGATATTGATTCCTGTTCTGTCATACAAAGTACAAACAGCTACTGAAATTTTGTGACATTTATGCAAGTGTTAGACGGCTCATCGGAAAGTCAGAAATTGTAGTTTTTTGGGCAATGGACCAGCATGTATTTCTCAGCCAGCTGCAGGAAAAGAAGTTTGTGAGTGTTCTTGAGTCTAAAGATTGCTTTCTTTTCTGCAAGTAGAGAACAATCAGAGTTCAGTTATAATTCACTTTGCTAGAATACTTGTCAGTGCAAAGTTAGTGTTAAGTTTAAGGCTCCTGCTATGAATTGGCATCTCTGTGTAACAGTCATATAAATTGCACTCATACATGGCAAAGGTGTGATATTCTTGTTCATGGTGAATGATCTGAAGGTGGTAGTCTAAGATGCTGTATGGTATAACTTCCAGAAAGCATTATTAGATTATCAAAAAGATGTGGATTTGCATCCGTGTAATCGTGTGCATAAAGTAAACCTATAAACCACTTAAGAGGCTTTTTAGAATTGATTCGAGGTTTTTAGGCCAATTGATGTTTTTATGTAACAGACTAGAATATCTTTATGCACTACCACGTCACGTGAAGTTGTGGTACACTCTCGTACCACACCTATATAGTGTTTCAGGTTTTATCATTGTGTTTTATCTTTATTTTTAGAGTGTCACATATTGGTTGAGGGAATTAATTGTTTTTCCTTATATATTTTGGACAATTCTCACCTCATGAGTTAAATTTTGGGGTTGAGTTAGACCCCAAATTCATTTTCTTTACATGGTGTCAGAGCAGACCCATCTCAATTCTTGGTTTATCCAATGTGGACCCCATGTAATATTGTCTACGCTCTAGCTGTCTAGCCATGAGCGTGCGGTGGGTGTTAAGAGTTTCCCAAATTTGTTGAGAATAAGTTGTCTCCTTATATGGTCTTTGACAATCGTCTACCTCATGAGTGAGCTTTTCGAGGTTGAGTTAGGTTCAAGGTTCAATCATATATATCAGTCCTCCTGTTTAATTTTTTTCTACCTCACAAATGGGTTTAGGGAGGGGGCACAAAGAACGTGTTTATGCAGAAACTGTTGGAATTTGACAGAGTCAGAATAATTATTGATTGGTGATCAAAGGAAACACCTGGTGTTTGACATTACATATACAGAATCCGCAGACAGCTAGAGATGTTAAAAAAAATGAATGGCACATGATTGGTTGCTTTTTTCTTGCTTAACACCTTACCAAGTCTAGCAGTTTAATTTTATATCAGGATATTGCGAATTAATGAGTTAGATCATTAAGACATTCATGTGCGTAGTTAGTTTCTCACTCCTTAAGAAAAACTACCTGGTTCCTGTAGTATTTGTCCTTTTTTCCTGACTAGTAGAATTTGTCTGATGAACTGATCTATTTTCCCCTGTGGCAATTGTACTTTACAAAGTATGCATTTGAATTCACTCGCTCTTGAAATTTTCAAGGTCTAATCGCATTTCTCTGGTATTTTTCGGTGGGAATTTGAACTTAATTTCCCAACATGTGCATTTGCATGCTGTTTTCTGAACTATCTACTGAACATATTGTGCAGCTCTGCTCTTTACCATATTTCTCTTTTATTTCCTTTGATGAGAGGGTAGGCGATCATGGTGGATGTTTCGAGGGACTGGTGTTTTGCGATTCTATATGTATAATATATGCTGTACTTGATAAGGAATTCCTGTGCAGCTTTCTCAATCTAAAAAGGTCTGCTCAGCTGACAATTTTTCTCTCTGTAAACTGGTTAGTGTGCAGTAATTCAACTACCATCACAGGCAATGATTCTCTCTGTTTCTGATAAAACCTGCCGCTTAATTGGAATGCTGTTTCCTGAGGTAAGAAAATCTTTGACATTCTTAGCAACACCTATTATACAATCATTTAGATGCAGCTGTAAATTTTATGATCTCTCAAATGCATAGACATTCGTTTTTTCAGAATACGGTGGTGTTTAAGCCACAGAAACTCAATCAGCAGTTGGAAGCACAACATCCACAGCTAGAGCAACTGCTGCTGCAACAATCGCTTCCCCTATTACAGCAGCAGCGAGCCCTTTCACGGCTACAGCAGCAGCAACCCCTTCAACAGCTGCAGCAACAGCAGCATTTGATGCCACTAAAGCGAAAACGTAACATTCCTCTGCAGCAACAGCCAAAGATTCCCAAATTACATCGACAACAGAGTCCACAAATACAGCAGCAACAGCAGATACCGCAAATGCAGCAAACAGAGCAGCAGCAACCAATAATTGGGACATGTGTGAATCAAGCATCAACCGGAGGTCCTAGACGGGCGCAACTTATGTCTCAGGGACAGGCTTCTTCACGAGGACTGCCAAACGTGCCCTGAGGAGGCTTTATGAATTGAACATGGCAATGAATTAGACAATGAGTCGTTGTAGAAATGCAATCATACTGGAGCAGCCGAAATTCTTACTGCTTGGCTATCGAATTTTGAACTCATTTTTCATGTCGAAGGATACTTACAAAATACAGAGCATTTAAAACTAATTAGCTCCAGTGTGGAAAGTAATTGGCTGCCCAATATGATCATTACTCTTCCTCCCCAAATCCAAACCTTCACCTTGGGGGCTTGCTGTACACTATCCCTGTTGACCCTTTTGGATTTATAGGTTGAAGAAACAAAAATTTCATTTATTGTGTACACCTTTAACTTCAATTTTTTTTTGATATCAATAGGTTTCCCTCCAGATAGCAGAGGGTCTATTTCCAGGCGCCGTGGTTATTTTCAAGACAGTTTCTTTGGTACTGCTCCTTTTTCAGGTGGATATTCTGGTGGCATTGTCTCTTTCCAACAATTCCTGTGTAAATTTTGGTTAGATCTGTAGCATGTTTGGCCAAGCTTCTCCTAGGTGTTTTTCTTCGAAGTTGAAGTGTTTGGCCAAGCTTCTCCTAGGTGTTTTTTTTCCGAAGTTGAAGTGTTTGGCCAAGGTTTTAAGAGAAAAAAAAGTGCTTTTGAGAAGAAGCAGAAACAGTTTTGGAGAAGCAGAAAAAAGTAGCTTCTTTCTAGAAGCACTTTTTTGAGAAGTATTTTTGAGAAAAATACACTTAAAAGTACTTTTTAAAAGTTTGGCCAAATATTAATTGCTGCTTAGAAGTGCTTTTTAAATTAATTAGCCAAACACAAACTGTTTTTCACCAAAAGTACTGAAAAAATCACTTTTGAAAAAAAAACACTTATCAAAATAAGTTGATTTTTCTAGCTTGGCCAAACAGGCTAGAGTGTTGAGAATGATGCATAACGCCGAGATTTCTCAGCAGGCCTTATGAAGCAGGAGTGGATTCACAGTAACGATATTGGGTTCATCCGAACCTGTACTTTCAACGCGAAGCATAAATTTATATATAAAAAATTACTAAAGCTGCAATAAACAGTAGGAATGAACCCATAACTTTAAAAATATAGTGCGTTCAATGTTAAAAATTCTAAAGGTTGAATCCACAGAGTTTAAATTCTAAATCCGCTTACAAAGGCCTAACTTAGGGGTGTTTGTGACATGTTGCTGGAACATGTCACACCGTTTTACTTATTCTAAGGTGTTCTGCTTGTTTTCAAGAGTTTCTACATGCCATGTCTTGCAAACTGCACCAAAATGGATGGCTAGGGTGTATAATCAAAAGAGATTTTTACCTATCTATATCATATATGAAACCTTATTACTAAAAATGTGCATATTTCCATTATTACCCGCCATGTTTATATTTTTTCTACAAAATTTATACCATTCATTAAATACTCAATATTAAGAGCTGATTCCTTCCAAATTAGGCGCCTACAAATCTGGGATAAATATTTGAATAGCTTATTCCTTCCAAATTAGGCGCCTAAAGATTTGGGACTAAATATCTTTTCATATTCACATCATATTTGTTTCCTTATGTGATATAGGAAGGTAAAAATTCCTAAAATAAAAAAAAACTTTAAAGGTAATCCAGTCACTAAAGTCTTAATTCGGTCATTATTCTTCAGTTACGGATGAATAAAATAATATATTGTAAAGGACCAAAATGGAAACTTCATAATGGCCATATAAATGCATTAACGTATATAACACACAATTGTAGTGACGTGTTATCCTTAATAATTGTATAAAATAGTTCTTTTCAGTACAAATCCTTATCTACAAAATTTTTACAAATAAACTACAAATCAGTTTAAGTATTGTATAAAGTTGTATTGTTTTTAAGGGTATCTATAAAATTACTACATTTATACTACAATTAAACTATAATCTATGTTGAAAAAAAATATTGACTACAAAATTTTCTCTGTATTTTTTGTGAAGAAGAAGGAATGGAGAAGATGAAGTCTGATTTTATGTTAATATCTACAAAATTCCTACATTTATCTACAAATAAACTATAAATTAGTTTAAGTATGTATAAAGCAGTATTGTTTTTAAGGGTATCTATAAAATTACTACATTTATACTACAATTAAACTACGATCTATGTTGACTACAAAATTTCTATTCATCTACAAAATTCCTACAAATCAGTTTTAGTATTGTATAAAGCTGTATTGTTTTTAAGGATATCTACAAAATTACTACATTTATACTACAATTAAACTACAATCTATGTTGAAAAAAAAATATTGACTACAAAATTTTCTCTTCACCTACAAAATTTGTTTAAAAAAAACTACAAAATTTCTTTCAAGAAAACAAGAAATGTAGCTGTGGCCAATTCCAACTTGAAGAACTTTCATGTGTAAATTGTTTCCAGATTGTAGTTATAATGTAGGTTAAATGTAGTTAATTTGTAGTTTTTGTAAAATTTTGCAGACAATTTGCAGATTAATTGTGGATGTCACATTTCTACAATTGGCTCTTCATCTACAAAATTTCTACAAAAAACTACAAATAAAAGCTGCCAAAAAAGCAATTCATATCATTCCAATCAAGAAATATGAGAAGAAGTTTAGAAGTGATTTAGTAATCACGTCTTTTTCCATTAATTGGATCGACACTAACATATCGCCCATGCTGTTTTATGACAAATAAACCAACCTTTTTAGAAGAAGAAAGAATGTAGAAGAGAAAGAAATGGGAGGGGGGAAACGACGCTGGTCAGATCTTACGAATAAATTGTTTCTGTTTTTATATGAACGAACAAAATCAGAAGGGAAAGTTGGAAATCTTCAGATCTCTCTCTATGGATGAACTCAAAGTGAAAACCAGAAGGAGAAAAATCAAAAACCACCCTAGCTCCCAAGATAACAGTCGTTCCCACTTGAAAACAAAAATCAAACGAACCCTTTCTTCTTCGAAAAACAGAGGCGTTTAAGTCAGATTTGAATTCCGTTAAATCCGTTTGAGGTCGTCGAGTCCAGGAGAGAGAGAAACGTGGGAGGTATGGGGGGTGGGAGGAGAGAGAGGCGGGTAAACGAAAATGGGAGAATATACGCTCCTAAATTAACGCCTAATATAAATAAAGCATTAATTATGCCCATAATTTGAATTATGGTATAGAAATGGTAATTTGGTATGCTTAAAT